TTCTATAGATTCATAGAATTAAATAAAAAAAATTCAATCAGATTTTGTTAGGTAAGCGTCGAGTAATATTCATTCAAAATTTCAGCACATTTAAAACAATGCTGCGGCCAAATTTTGTTTTGAACTTCAACCGAAGATTTTCAATAATCACATATTTAAATTCGATAAAAATTTTTTATTTAAATTCTATAGATTCATAGAATTAAAAAAAAAATAAAATTCATCAAATTTATGCTTGTGATTGTTGATAAGTCTTCATTTAAAGGTTTAAAAAGGATAATTTTTCACGATTTTAGCTTATTTTTCTGATATTTGAGTTTTTTTTTTTTTTTACACTTTATCGATAGTTTCTCGATGGCCGTTAAATCAAATTCAATAAATCTTTTTTACAAAAATATAGAATTAAAATAAAAAAATTTTCACTAAATTTGATCAAGTAGTTATTGAGAAACCTTCGCTAGAAGTTTTTAAAAAATTAAAAATTTTTATAGTAACCAATCACAATTAAGGATTCGAAGTCCTAGATTGCAGATCAGTGAAAATCTGTCGGTGCTGCTTGGGTAAGTATTGCTTAGCTGTATAGGAATTATATCTTTTCGCTATCGCCCGCCTTGTAGTGAAGGCCGGCTCTTTCAGCCACCCCCTCCCACTCAATTCGCACGATCTGGAACAATGTAATGACATTAGTGAATGCTAGAGCGATACTTATAAGTATTATCGGCTCCGCAGCTGTAGTAGGCAGAGCAAGGACTTAAATTGTGGTGGTTGGGCTCCATGGTTGTAGTAGCAATGCAAGGACCCACCTAAGATGATGGGGCTCCGAGGCTGTGTCGACAGTGCAAAATCCCCTTTGCTCTCTTTCGATTAATACGTTTATTACAGACCGATTCTCTTTATGGATTTCTCTCCTTGCAGGCCTTTCTTTGTGCGAAAATATACTGTGCTAAAATGGCGGGATAGGATTTAGGGATCTTCGTTGGTAGGAAGGAATGAGATAAGACTGTTTTGCATGAATCTCGGGGTCTATGTTTAGGATTTCTGATGATAGATAATGTCTTTAAGGATAGCGAACGGAATTCCCATACAGTATGTTCTTCAGTTTATTTTAATAAAGTCATCTGACCGAGCAATAATAATTGATTTTTCTAATTTTATGGATAGAATTAGTATAATTTAATCGAATAAATTGATTAGATCTATAGTATTTTACCACATTTTTATTTTCTATAAGCTTATTAGATGACTTTCATAAAGGAAAAATCTGTAAATTGACTCACGCTTTTTTTTAATCTCATATGATTCGTCCTCTAAAGTTCTTAATATCATTTTGTGTTATCGAAGCGATAGAACGATAAATATATTCGTTATTCGAAATTGAGTTAACGAGGCAATTATTAGTGGGACCAGAACAAGAGGCCATAGTGGCTTAATAGTTGTTAGAATATAGGAGAACGTAAGGGCTTACGTACCGTGATTAAGCAATTCGAAAAGCACGAATTTACTTTTGAAATCTTAAACCAACAACATTTTTTAAAAATGAGAAAAATTTTATATTTTTATACATATGCGGCCATAAGTTTGGCTTTATGCTTGATTAAGTCGATATGACGTGTAAAGATTTTGTTACAGGCTATTTAGCTGAGGACAATGATTTGTAAGCGGTATTCGATGGTAGGTATAATGACTCAAATTTTTATATTATTAATAACTTTAAAAAAAATAACAATCTCAAATTTTACTATATTAAAAGCAAGCTTCATAGTTTATTCTGCTTGTTTTTTTTTGCATATTTTTATGAAAAGAATTTTTTTTAATTTTTTTCAGCTATATTTTTTATTTTTTCTATAAATTTTAAAGAATTATTGATTTTACTTGCAAATTTAAGACGTCCTACATTGTAATACGGAAAATCTGTGTTGTCTTTAAATTATCGTGAAATAATTTAATATTTTCCAACACTGCACACATTGTAATTTAATTTTTATGCAAACATAAAGAAGATCGTGACTCATTAAGTTATATCGACTCGATTCAAATTGAGTCAACGTAAGCTGAGTCAACCCGACTCATCGTGAGTCGAATAGACTCAGCCCTAAATAATTTATAATTGTTTTGAATAATTGCAATCTGAATAAAGCTGTTGCACACTAATAAATTACATTTAAAAAAAGATAGTGTTACAGTACCAAGGGAAAATTTGGAATTGCTTGTTTCCGATATTTAATTTTCAGAAACAGCTTATAAGAATTTGGTATTGTCTGCTTCTAAAGAGTTTTCGAAAATTATGAATTCCAGGTTTTTTCTTGGCAGCGCTCATATAACAAATTAGTTTACGTAATTTCGTGTCTTCAAAATGAGTCATTGTTACACGATGATTGTTTGGAAACTATTAATAGTAATCTGTGGGACAAATATTTGGTACGTCGATTATTCGATTCCATGCGTGTATGTGCGTATTATATTGCGATTCCCGTTAACAGTTAATATCAGATTCTTTACGGAGCAATAATGATATAATATTAATGTATATGAGTAATTATGGACTTTACACACCGCACGTACTTAAAATAAATAAATTTAAGATGGTTTATTAAATTTTGAATGAATTTTTGGTTTATTGAAAACTATATAAATCCAACGCCGTTAAGACCAAGCGTAAAATTGGGAATTTTAAAGCAATTATAAGTTCACAAAATACACATAAATATATATAAATCATGTTGTTAATATCATTAATTTTATTACCTTTTTTAAAATCTATCTCCTTTTCTGATATTTTTATCTTTTTTACCATTTTGTTCGTATTTTACATCTTTCGTTTTTACTATGTTTATTATACTCGTCCAAATAAATTACCAGGACCTATCCCGTTACCACTTATAGGTACAAATTATCGTATGATTGCAATAAATTTACGTCCTATAGGAATGGATGAATTATTTAAATCACTCAACTCTCAATATGGTGATATTCTTGAATTGTGGTTTGGTAGTAATCGAGCTGTTGTTTTATGTCATCCAAAATATATGGTTAAAATTCATCAAGCATCTACTAAAAGTAAATATATAAAAAGATTTTCAACCACTAATACTGATGGAAAAGAATATGGTATAGTTGATAGTGGTGTTTTTAATAATAATGATATTCATGGTTCTTGGAAATTTAATAGAATGGTTTTTAGTAACGCGTTAATGCGTCCAAAGTTGGATAGGGATGCATTACAATGGACTATAGAGTTGGTCGAAGAAATGGAATCATATTGGGAGAGAACTGGTATTATAATTGATGATAATGATATGAATAAAGCATTAATAGAAAATAAGGAGATTATAAATCTTCCAAATTGGATGCGTAGATTTACATATGATATAATTTACAGAATTGCAATCGGAACTAAGGGAGATACTCTTAACTCATATACAAATAATTTGTGTGGGCTAAGCGCTTATGAAACTGAATCAAATAGTATCATAAAGAGTATTCAAACTTATGCTGAAGGAATTATGTATTTTCGTCTATTTTCAAAATTCGTTCGTTATTATATTCCATATATACGAGGAATTATTCGTAAATATATGGATAATAAAGAGTATTTATATGGAAAATTAACGGAAATAATTGAAAGACGTCGACGTGAAATTGAGGAAACACCATTAAGCGAAGAATTAAGGAATGATATGTTGACTTCATTTATTATTGCAAATACTGATAGAGATATGTATAAAGGAAAATACGTTGAAAAGTTTGAAGAGGAAGTAGTTGTCAGGCCTATGAAAAATGAAGATATCTGTGGAAACTTAATGGACGCGTTTCTTGGGGGGACTGATACTGTATGTTCTTTTTTTTATTTAGTTTGTCTTTATAATTATGTACGTTTTCATAATTTTAACTCTTTAATTCTGAATTCTTTATTCATTTGTCTTAATAGGTTGCAAACTTATTCTGCTTTATAGTTTATTATCTTGCACATCATCCGGAAGTTCTAGCCCGCCTCCATCAAGAACTTGGCTTAATATTCCAAGATGATAGAACACGAAAAATCACTCTTAAAGATTTAGATAATCTTAAATATTGTGAATCAATAATTAAAGAAGTATTTCGACTACAACCTGTACTTTCTTCAAATATTCGTTTAAATTCGGAAGATGATGAGATTGGAGGATATATTTGGCCTGCTAATACTACGTTTCTACTATTTTATGGAGCTCTATTTAAACGTCCTGAGGCATGGAACGAACCACTAAAATTCAATCCAGATAGATTTTATAATTATATGCCTAATGATAAAACTAATGGTGATGATTTAGGAAGTAGTAAAAATATAGGTGAAAGATCGGAAGATGGCGATGACATTAAAAATTCATTTGTAATGTTTGGAGGAGGATTGCGTATGTGCCCAGGAAGAAAATTAGCAATGATTGAACTAAAATGTTTAGTAACTATGATTTATAGGAAATATGATGTTGAATTAGTTGATAAGAATGCACAGCTTAAAACTAAATCTACTTTCCTTACATCTTGTGAAGAGTTATTATTTAGGTTAAAATTAAGAAAATGATATATTCTATTTCTATAATGTATATTTATATATATTTGTGATTATGAAATTTTATATTATTATCAGTATAAATAAAAAAGGTTAATTTCTTGATTTCATAAAATATATTTTATGACCGGAAACCCGGATTTTTTTTATAAAAAAAAAAAATCCCCGATCATGATAATCGTTTACGCTCTTTTTCGATTTAGTTGAATATTATTATTATTATTATTTTTAAGTTCCGTGAGTCCGTGAATACAATATGGATAGCTCCCTTATGTTCGTCGCATTTTATGAAGCTTATTTATCGATAAAAGGGAATATTTAAATAATTAAAATGATCTCACAAAATGAAGTGACTGGGCAAACTTGTGTTTGTCTTGTTGCACAAATATTGCAATGAATTACAAATTTTTCTATAAGTTCTTGCCGGCAATATCTCCATGAACTGATAATTTGATTCCAAGTTTCTTTTTGGCCAGCATGCTGAGTAACTGTGGAATGTATTTTACAAAATTCATCATATATATTTTCCACAACTAATACGGGAAGTTCAATTATGATTTTTTTCATTATTTTTTTTATTTTGTGTTCGAACTTGAAGCACAATATATGAATCACCAATTTGTTGTAATTTAAATTTATCCTTAGCCCAGTAACGAAAAGTAGAAGTATATAATGTGGTATCAATGGGGTTAAGAAGAACGTCTTTAATTTTTTGCAGTGTTTCTTGATTAATTAGTGCCTTTTCTTTTTTACTTGGTGCCAAACTTTCAATATATCGGTTAACTAAATTATCAAAAGTTTGCCGTGAAATAAATGAATACTGTACTCCATAATTTTTCATTGCAAGAAAAAAATTAAAGCAAATAATTTTATTATTATATCATTATTACATTCGTTATGCGCATTGCAATTCTTGAATGTGTGCCAGGTTGGTGGCGCATTAATCAAATAATTTGCGGCAAATAAAAAAATCTAATGCTAACAATAGTAAAACTATAAATTTTATTAGAAAGAAAACACCATTTTTTAACGTTATTCTACTCGAATC